CCCTTCGCATTTACCTCCGCAACGAAATCCTCTACCACTCCTCCAGCAAATCACTATTCTCATAGCAACAATTCTCAGTGGGAAACTCGCGACCGTCTCACAGGCCTTCCTCTCACTAGTTTTCTCCTCCCCAGCTGCATGAAGGAGTGTTAGGGGTCAGCCCAAATATCGATTACAATGGCGAGCGCTAAATCACGGCGCACTTTGGTATGGTCCGTCAAGTCGTCGAATTTAGGGATTCTTCTATGACTTACTACCCTTCCTTTCGCGATCGCTCCACCGCTCACAAAGCGGAAATCCTGCGAAAGTAACTTCAACACTTTCCGCGACAACGTGCGCCCACGTCATCATCATCCTCAGGACCCTCGCAAGCACTCGTCTACACAGAGCCCCTCTTGGTCATTCTGAACGCCGTTACTATCAACCCAAGATGAACACCGATCCCCCACCACTGCTCAGGGCATGGCGTAACCAGGTACAGCTCTCATCGCCTTATCACGTTACAATGTGGAACGAATGAAAGTATAAAATTATACTGCTGTAACTTCACTGGGATCGAATCGATCTTTGCGTGAATTCATTACTGTAAGTTCAACTAACTGAGTGGTGCCTCAGACATTCCTCCATAAGACGTCAATAGGCCTGTACCCGCCCATTCCCGTACTGGCTAGACACAAGGCTGATACTATTCATGGCAACATTGAGGGAGATCACCACTCCAAGAATACGAACCCTGGCTATTCTCGCAATATTCTCGGAGGCTTCTTCACCTCATGAGGCACTTCTTATCGCTGTGTAACTCACTATGATGTTAATACAGCTCCTTCGACTTGCGTTTGGGAGTATCCCCTGCTCGGACAACAGTTCGAATTCGAATGTCCGATTCTGCTAAGACTCTCTTGACACCCCAACAGATCAGTGAGCTCAAGGGCGCTTTTGATATATTCGATGAGGACCGAAGTGGGACGATCGATTCCGAAGACTTCAAAGTGAGAGATGTGCATCACTCTCTTCATATCGGTTGTCATTGAATTAACGACGTGCATATCAACGACGTTAATGCCCACATCGACTGAGTGAGTTCCTTTTCAGACGTTACTCAGAATGTTCGGCCTGCGTTTGACCGAACAAGAGATATCACAATTATTACAAGAGATTGATCAGGACGAATCCGGGCGAATTGAATTCGACAAGTTACTCAGTGTGTTGGTATGTGGTTTGATCCCCTCGCAGACTTCTTAGTGTTCACTGTAGGCCACCAACATGCAAGAAACGACCGTTGAAGAGCAGATGACCGAAGCTTATGGGTTGCTCGATCGTGACGGCAAAGGCTACATCAACAGTGATGACCTCAGGAGAGTTATGGGACAATTGGTAGGCACATTGTAGCAGGTGATTTATGAGCTTCCCTCTGTAACAGGGCGAGACTGGAGTGACTCTCACAGATGCCACCGCTCTTATGAGAAATGCTCTTGATGGTCGTGATAAGGTCACCAGGCGTGAGTTCATGATTATGCTGAAAATGCATGGTGAATCACCAACTTGAACAATTCTGCCGTGTTTGTGTTGTTAGAGCGAATATCATTGTGTTTGGTTGTGCATCAGCAACAGCTACTAGCGGAATGGAAGTCGCGTATTCGTTCAGCACAGTGAAGTGGAGCAACTTGAACATGATTTCTGGACAATACTACAACTTGGATTATGTTACGACAACATCATTCATGTTCTCTCATCACAGCTCGTTGTCGAGGCCACTTCGTTATCAACATGCACTGATTATAGTAAACACAAGTTCCCAATATAAACCGACAACTTCACGGTGTGTAGACTTAACAGTGCAGAAAAAATCGAATCGTATCGAAGAGTTAAACATGGATTCAATATTGACCTAGTCTGTGAGACTCTCGAGTCGAGAAGTAGTTCAGCAGTATACTCATAGCGGCAGATTCGTTTTCCCTAGCCAACGCGATGACCTCCTATAGAGACACGCACGGAATGAAAAGTGCTCCTCACAGTGAGTCAGCTATATCAATCATATCTTGTATCGAATATCAGGCAGATTCTAATGGTTGTAAGCGCCACCGAGCTGACCATCATCGTCCTCGCCAATGTGATCATCGAATTCGTCTTGAATAGTTGAAAATCCAAATAGACTCCAA